ACAGTAAGAATAAGTATATTTGATGATAGTTCCATAGTAGTTGTGTATAGTGGGTTTGATTGAGATAGCCATAGCACAGTAGTTAGATGTTAAAAAGCATTATTTATTTTATTGATTACTGAATGAGAAAGTATTTTATCTTGTTATTTACGAAGGGTTAAAATATATAATGATAGTTCCATAGCAATTGTGTTGAAGTAGTTTCTGTTTTTGAATTTATTTTTAAGGTGACTTTGGAAATATATTTTTTTATGGTACAGGGAGCCTTTAGTCTGCCATATATACACCTCTGTCGTTTCTGCCTCCTCCTCCTCCTCCTCCTCCTCATATCTTGTTAGTGTGACCCCGAGGAGCTCATTAAAGTAACACGGACTTAATTGCTTTTTAGTTTATGTGCTATGTCATAAAAATACTGTTGTTCAGGCGGCTGTTGGCTGATTATGTTTGAGAGAGACCCACACACAGACCGACACACAGACCGACACACAGACCCACACACAGACCGACATAGGCAGACATACAAACACAGATAGACACATACAGACAGGAAGACAGAGATGGGGTATAGAGAGGAAAAAATGGGTAAATTGAAGAAGAGACAGACAGACAGACAGAAACAGACAGACAAAATGATAGAGGTAGTGATTGAGAGAGAGACGGACGGGAAAAAAAACACACACAGACAGACAGACAGACAGCGTGTGTGTGTGTGTGTGTGTCTGTGTGTTTGTTTATGAAGGGTTTTGGTTCCAGAGGCGTCGGCTAAGGAAAGGATTACCCTTAATTAGTGCTGATGTAAAGTAGTTATAACACACAAACAAGAGATTGGTGGTACGGCGTTTATTTACATTCTGTCCACGTTAGTTAGTCGCTATACGAATGTTCTTGGTTGAGTTACAGTATATGAGCGTGTTTTAAGCTGGGAGGATATGTAGTATGATGGAAGTGTGTTTTAAGCTGGGGGGGGGATTTGCAGTATGATGGAGGTATTGTAAGCTGGGAGGATTTGCAGTATGAGGGGAGTGTGTCTTAAGCTTGGGAGAATTTGCAGTATGATGGAGGTATTGTAAGCTGGGAGGATTTGCAGTATGAGGGGAGTGTGTCTTAAGCTTGGGAGAATTTGCAGTATGATGGAGGTATTGTAAGCTGGGAGAATTTGCAGTATGATAATGAAGTATGATTCAAGTTTAATTTAAGGACAATTAAATTTCAGTATGATTGAGGTATGATTCAAGATTGATATCGAAGAATAATGTTATTGATTGAAATTCATTATTCTCGTTCATAATAGTGTATGATCTTACGGATGGTTATTAAGGATGATTCAAACAGCCTGTAGGAATGATAGTTGTCGGCCTTGAGTTAATTTTATTTATTATACGAGACAGATCTGTTAATTAGACGCAGCATGATATTAAATTACATTATGGTAATTAAGTATGATTTAAATGTAATTAATTCCGCTAATGTATACGAAGCACAAACCTTAATTCCAGTATGATTATGAGGTATAATTTAAGCTCGGTGTAGTAATTAAATAAAAACGGAGATTCAGTTCTAGTATGGTTGAAGTATGATTGATTAAAACTGAGTATGATTCAAGCTCAGAAAACTACAGTATAATTGAAATATGAATGAAGCTTAATGACCTACAGTATGATTGGAGTATGATTATAAACCTCAAGTGAACTACAGTATGATTGAAGTATGATTCAGGCTAGCACAGTATGATTGTAAGGTATAATTAAGGTATAATTCTCATCCATTATACGAATTATTCATACTGCTGGCATTAACTTGAGGTTAAATTCTTAAAACAAAATCGTAGGCTTTAGTTATATATATAAATACACATAAACAAGGGTTATTAACAAGAACAAGGAGGAAGAACAACAAAGTGGATCAGAAGAACAAGTGGTAGGATAACAAAGGAAGAACAAGAGGCAGGAGAACAAGGAGGAAGAACAAAAAAGTGTGGATCAGAACAAGAACAAGAGGTAGAACAACAAAGAAGAAGAACAAAAACAAGAGGCAGGAGAACAAGGCGGATGAACAAGACCAAGAAGCAGGAGAACAAGGCGGATGAACAAGGCCAAGAGGCAGGCGAACAAGGCGGATGAACAAGAACAAGAGGCAGGAAAACAAGGAGGAAGAACAACACAGTGTGGCTCACAGCAGGTGGGGGGGGTGAGGAAGTGCTAGGCTGGTTCATCTAATGTAGCCAACACCCACTCCGGCGCCGCCCTCAACCAGCCACCGCCTCTCTCTCTCTCTCTCTCCTCGTTTTATCCTCTCATTTACCCTCCTCTTCCTGTCTATCCCCTCCTGTTTCATGTTCCTTCTTCCTTTTTTCCCCTCTCTTTCCTCCCTTTTCCCATTCCTCTCCTCTGTCTGTCTCCCACTCCCTTCTCCCTCTCTATTCCCATTTCTCTCTTTACCCCCCTCTTTTCCTCTTTATCACCCTCTCATCCCTCTTTACCCCTCTCCCATCTATTCATTCCCCTTTCCTTGTTCCTTTCTCTTCGCCGTTTTACTCTCTTCCATCCTCCTCTTCTCTCTCCTACACCCTCATTCATCTTCTCTCTTCTGACTCCACCTCCGCCGACTCTATATCGTCTCAAATAGGAAAAAAAAAATATATATATGTTTTTTAATCCAGAATCGTTTGGCTATTTGATCCCTTATTCTTGTCATCTATAAAATATTCATCGCAAATTGTTTTATGATTTACTACCTAGAATTTGTATATTTTTTACCGTCTCCTGTGGAAGGGATTGAGACATGTAGTATTTTTTTTTTGTCTGTGTGTGTGTGTGTGTGTGTGTGTGTGTGTGTGTGTGTGTGTGTGTGTGTGTGTGTGTGTGTGTGTGTGTGTGTGTGTGTGTGTGTGTGTCCGTGTGTGTGTGTGTGTGTGTGTGTGTCCGTGTGTGTGTCCTTAATCTCTTATTTTGTGTCCCGTCTGTCTGTCTGTCCGTCCGGGAGATGTAAACACATGGCGTGTGGATAGATCATAACAGAGTCTCACGTGGGTTCGATAATCAGTATTTTCTGGTTTTAGTGTCCAGAGTTATAGCTGACTGGACTTTGATGTGGTGCAGTGGTGGATTTGTCTGCTTCTAGTGGACGATCTTTCTTATGATGGGATGTGGATATGTGGATAGTTGAGTGGATACAATGCTCTTCTGTCTTTAGGGTTACTGGGAACTGGTACCTAACTTTACACTTGAGAAGTTAACGCGATCGAGTGCATTGTCAGCCATACAGCTTCTTTGTTTACGGACATAAAATGGACTCGGTGTAATGGCGGATGATTTGTAGGGCTTCACAGATGATACCTTTGTTACTTGATAATGTTCCTGGTGTTTTTCATGTTCATAGTCACGTTATATTGTTCTTATATAAATTAATACGTTATTTTTATGACGTTATATTTTTTTCCAGTTATGTATACCGGAATGATGACACCACGCATGAAAAGTTAGTCGTATAAGAGGACATCATTACGTTTTTAGGAAGCGTATGTGAGAACAATAGAAGCCTTATAATAGCTAAATAACATTAATAATACTCAGTTCCGTGTTGGTGTGCTCAGAGCAACAACACTTTAAAGTTTAACCTTGTTCGACCATCCTCTCTGGCTTCCATTTGTAAACAACCAATGACTTTAGTTTTTCCTCCAGTGAACGAGGCTCACCACTGTACTGTAGGTGAATTAACTTCCAATTGCTCGATAAGATAAACATGTCAGTCATTTGTCTTTTACAGATTCTATTTCATTTAGAGTTCGATGTCTTCTGTTTGAACAATCGACATGCACAACTTACTAAATAAATATCTTTGTTTTTTTAGTCTAGTTAGCAAAGGCAGCTGAGGTCATTCTGGTGTAACTGATGTATTTTGATTACCATGTTCCGTTCCCTGTCCTCATTTTACATTCACTCAGTCTGCCCGTGAATCTCCACCATGCAGAAACTGACAATTTATTCCACTTTATTTCTGGTACAGTCTACACACGGGCCAGATATGCGCCATAAACTATCCTGCATCTTTATGGGGGGTTTTTGGCAGCCATCCGGTAGCATCAGAGGGAGGAATTGCCGCCTTTTAATGCACTAAAACACGGTATTATCTGCATTCTCGACAGCATTAACTCCCCCCGGATGACTTAATCAGAGAGCTGGTACTTGGATGGTCTGGTGGTGTACTCGGTACTGTGACGCCGACCACATCATCAATCTAGCTGAGTTATTGTTGGTATTTATCTGATCGTATTTATTGTGGCGATCGTATTTGCTGCTTCGGGTGGTGTAACTTTATTTTTCTTCCTCCGAGCCGCATTAGATATTAATATAATGCATTGTCGATTATAAACATTACAATAAATAACGTATGATTATTATTCTCGGTAGATAAATGGCACACAGGTAACGTAAATACCAGTGGATAAATACAGTTGTATCCTGGCCGTGTTAAAGCAGACGTTGATCAAGGCCGCCCGGTGTGGTTAATGCCTGCAGGAGTAATATCCAAGTCGTTAACCTACAAAGTAAAAGCAGTATTGATAATAAGTAATTGAAGGGTAATTATCCCCGGGCACGGCCTCCTTGTGGGTTTAGATGAAGTGCGGTCAAGCTTGTCCAACACCCTGCCCTCAAGACACTGCTGCCAGGCGAGGATTAATATGATAAGCTGTGTTGAACAATACAGAAAGACGTTAAGTAATACATTACATATAATATTGCTATTGTTAAAAAAAAACTACTCATTGATTTGAGAGATTAGGTTAAATGGCAGAAATAAACGTAATTACTCAAACTCCCCTTCCTGGTGCCACATCGGAGTAATGATAATTCAGATAAGTTTTTCGATAAAAGATTAAGGTGTAAAGTTGAGGTGATGATGTGATAGTGATTAAGGGTAGGGGGGAAACATGCTCCCTCCCATGACGACAGCGGCAACCTCCAACCATCCGCTGATCCTACCCCTGCCACTCAGCCAGGCGGCCACTCGGTCAGGGAGGGCTCAAACCTCAGTGTTGTGGTAGACGCCGTGTTGGGAGGGTGTAGCACCGATCCCGTCCTCTGACTCGCTCGCCTGGATCTACTTCACTCGGGAACTTTATCACGTATGACGTTTTACGGTTCTTATAGTGACGTGGTTTATGATGGTGATATTGGAAAAAAACAAAAACAAAAAACAGTGCGCCTTATAAAGTGAAATTTAATACGTGACATGAAAGGGAAATCTGATATTTTCTTCGACTTGAAAATAAATCCGTGGATGTGGTTTTCGGGGAATGAAATGTGGAATGGGTAAATCATATGTTATTTTTAGACTATTTAAAGCAAATTGAACATACATTCTGATGATAATTTTCCATACCATTTTATTTATTTGCCATTTTAATGATCAATATCTCATTTTTTATCGTGTTTCCCGGTGTCATGTAATATATTATTTTTATTAGTAGATTTTTATCATAATATGCCTGTGTACGTGTTATGTTAATATCATTAGTGTTAGTTATGTGAGGTTAGATGGATTTTTTTATTCATTTTAGATTTTTAAATGAATAGCCGTGTGCTTGGTAATGTAGCACAGGTAGCCTAGACAGTTACCATCGCTTGTTATTTTCGTGTCTGACCAACATGTTTGTGTAACGTAGATGTCAAACCAGTGATGCAGATGTTGATATATTGTTAAGCAACACAGGCAGCGAGACCAATGACTGACTGTACATGTGGTTTACACGGTATTGGTAAACTATCGATGGCTAGTTTGGACTCACGGTAATAGTATTCTCGTAACTATGATAAGTTTTTGGTAATTAATACAGTACCATAAGTTTGGGGGAATATAAGTGCTTGGGAAATCGCCTAAGTGATCAGTGCAGCATCAAGTCCCATCAAACATAAGAACAGGAAGGAATAAATCATAACCTCAGTAACTTTAAATGCCAAATAACCTCAAATAACACCATGTGGTATCCTTGGTATGTTATTTTATCTGGTTTTAATGCAACACGGAATGAATTGTCAACCATTAATGTCAGGTTGTATTATGATCCGTAATGTAATTAGGATCTGGGGAGGGGGCGTAATACAAGCAGAGTAGTGTGGCTGCGGCTTCTGTGGTGGCTAGGTCAAGTGTTGGAGACCCCAGCACGTCTCAAGGTTGACCTTCAAGGGGAGGTCCTGCGTCAGTTTTGGATTCTAGTTGCTACGTGCTGGTTTCAAGACGGGACTTAAAACACTGTTGATTGCGTAGTTACTTTTAGTGCGTCGTTCCTACAGTAGTATATAAATTTTACCCTTAAAAGGAACATCTCGGTAACGTTTTAGAACCTCGTCGTTACGTTTTTGTTGGGAGAATGAAGACTTGACGCAGCGGGTAGCTTAGTTACTTTGATGCGTGGGGTGAAGCTAAGATGCGGACTAGAGCTTTACAGGATAATTTGAGTGTTGTATTCGTTGCCAGTATGTTATCAGAGCTCTACGGGAGACATAGTGTATACATGGTTTGTAGTTGATAAGAAAATTGAATGACTTTGCCCTTTGTCCTTTATGGATATCCTAGTAAGATCATAATTCTGTATTTATATTCTCGTGGCGTCTTTGGTGGTGGGAGTGATTATGTTCTTGTGTCTGTATGAATATTGACTTGTCATATCGTTGTTGGTGTGAATATTGAGTGAACGATATTTGATCAGTTCGTGTTAGGTGTCTGTACCTCTTTGTGAAGGAGATGAATGTATATATTTTTATTGTGTATTGTCTCATTGCGTTTTATGGAGTGGGAGAGTGGTAAATTATTAAATGTGTGAATATTAAAAGAAATTACTCACTGTTGTGGATGCGTATGTAGTTTTTTTTCCTCGTAAAATATATGAATAGTTAGTCTCGTTGTCAACCATCCACATCTCAAAATTAGAGGACTAGTTATTAATAGCAGTGCAGGTGCAACAAGGGACATACTGTTAACATCTTGTTTGTACCGTAAGTTACTACCTCTCTACCCACTTTATTAACAACAGAGGCATTGTTAGAAGGGGTCATAGGAGCACTACCTCAACACACGCATGCACACATTATCCCCCCCCCCTCCCACTCTCTCTCTCTCTCTCTCTCTCTCTCTCTCTCTGGGAAATTGGGAAGAAGGACGAAGAAGAAAAGCAGTGTACATAAAGTTTATCTTGCAGTATAAACAGTTTGCTTTCTCAGTGTACACAGTCAGCTAAAACTGAGATAGTCAATTAGTCGCTGAATGGATTTGCAGATCAAAAATTAATTATTATTTAAATTCAGACAATGAAGAGATATCTTAACGAAATAGACCGTGGGTTAATATATTTGCAGAATAAACAGAGAAATGTAATCGTCGTTGCACTGGGTCTTTGATCTCGACTAAATTAATTTTTGGTTTATTGCTAAAAGATGTTTGTAGAGCATGGCGTTTCAGAGTTTGTTGTTGTATCAAAAGAAAATTGCTCTTTGTTATGAAAACAGTTTGTCGTTGAAAAATAAAAGCACCGTGGACTATGAAGACTCGTCCAGAACGTTACCTAATTAGTAGTCTTCCCGTGATAAAAAATATACTAATTAAAGGCAGGTGTATTGATGATGGCTTACTTAGAACATTACCTGAAGTTTGACTTTTGTTGATTTTGAAAGTGAAGGTTTGTTTAAAGGAAAGGCTGAGAAGTGAAGATTAATTTTACAGGTCGTTTTCTTCAACTGGTCCAGCTTGTTAGGAAATGCAATGTGTGATACTGAAGTCTTTACACAGGACATAAATCAAGATTATAAATTTTAGTGATTTTGAAAAGACGTTTATTATTTTATTAGAACATAATGATTTGTACACGTATAATTAATTTAGATGGTGTTAATTTGGACTACACAGATACTTCGTTATAGTGAGTTATTTAAATGAAATTAGAATAAATTGAATGTGAAGGGAACATACAAACTTAACTCGTATAGTTGAATGATATCATGCGTCATTATTTTGTTGCCAGGTGAAGCATTAGAGCCATTCATATTGGGATAACTTAGCGTGGTTGTGTGAGTGAGTGAGTGAGGCGGGGAGTTAACAGGCTTACCATAGCAGAGAGAATCATTTAAGGCGAGTCACTCACATTAAGATAATTTTGAGCTACAATGGATAATGGGTCTGCCTAGGGGCGCCGGGTGATGGGCGGTTTGTCTCGAGACCACTGGAGGTTACACATCCTTGGGGAGATGGTCATTACGCCTCCCGTGCTGGGGGTTAAGAGGTTAAGGAGGTCAGGAGGTTGTCTGCTGCGGGACGAGATAGCTTAGTTGCAGGAAATGGGTATAGAGGGATTTGGAACGATCATATTGCCGTTTTATTTTGTACTTTCAATTTCTTTTAATTAAGCGTAGATTCTGTTATTATGTATAGCTAAGATGTTTTCAGTTTTTTACACATGAATGCTCTTGGAAATTCATGCGCGCTCTACCTACTCTGTTTTTAACGTTTGTCATTAGGGTTTGTCTGCACGAACGAAGTTGCTGCCTAACATGACCGGTGTTCACATTTAGCCTTTCAAAGACCAGTGTTAAGCTCGCCACCTCAAAGTGCAGAGACTTGTTTGTACCCCGGACACCGTCGTTGGCATTACAGATGTTCACCTTTTTGTTCGTTGTGATTCGGTGACTCCTTTATCTAATGCGGTTTACAGTATATTTGGAATGTAACGTTACTTTGCACAGTAGGTAGACTTGTTTGATGTTATGCTAATTTGTATGTGCCTATGAATTTACAACTTGATTTAATTTTTTTTTTTGTTCTTGACAAAGACTTCATTGTTGATGTAGTATTTTCAAAACTCCTTAAGACGTCTTTGGCGTTTAACATTAGTTTTAAGCTTCTTAAACATGACAGCTGACATACTTACTTGAATTATAAAGTCATCAGGGGAGGAGGTTTATATCTTCAGGTGTTTGTCTGTCGGGTCTTCTAGTGGTGTGGGGACGTCGGCTATTTTATTGTCATTTACATCTTCTGAAATTCAAATAAGGACCCCCGGGGAGGGATGCATTATGCATTAGACGTGATCCTTCTGTTTACGAAAAACATCTGAAGAAAAATGGGTAAAAGGTTGAGCGGTGTGGCGTGTCATGGTGAGCATGATATGTACACACCTTTACTGGGGAGATATGCTGTGTACACACTACGCGTCCACTCACAAGCGTTCTTATAGACGCGAGCGCACACAAACAACTCGCGCACACACCAACCTTTACTCGAATATAGGCTTAGACATGTGTGCTCAAACTCGTGCACGCAGGTACGCACACTCAGGACCCTGGTTATGAGGGAAGTGTAAGGGGAGGGAAGATAAGGAGGCAGGTCGAAGGGCAAAGAGGATGGGGGGAGATAGTGGGGCGGGGAGAGGAGAGTGTGGGAGTATTAGTAAGGTAGGTAGGAGAAAAGAGAGTTATGAGGAGACACCATGGGAAAGATAGGACATCCAGGGAGAGGAGAGAGAGATAGGCCAATATTTACGAGGTGGTCAGTGTAGCAGTGTAGGCGTGTGAGTGATGGCTGGGGCGGGGTGGGGCAGTTATATGGCCCCCCGTGATTGACAGGGGAGGTGGTGGGTGAGTCAGACCACCCTACAGGGCATGTCAAGTAGTCATGTCACTGCCCACCGTCACTGCCCACCAACCTGCTTGATTAATTCGTCTTTGTGAGCCTCTCCAGGTAACTGTTGGGGCGTATTTTTTGTGGATTTTTTTTTTACATTTCTTTTAATCCCTCTGGCCTTGGTAAGGGGGAGGAGGGGGTATAGCGATCGGTGTCTGTGTGTGTCTGTATTCATAAGTTTACCATCAGTTTTCGACGGATTTTCACGTCATTTGGTATAGACTGTGTTTATGGAGGAGTGATGTACAGTAGATGTTTGATGATGATTTCACCTCGTTGAGTCCACCTGTACGTCAGTCCTTTTCACCCTAACACACAGAACCACTTAAGTTTACCTTTCATGCTGGTTGGTCGGGTTAGCCGAGGCCTTTAGTGTTTCCTCGACTTTGTTTTCAATTAGGAGTATTATTTTTTTTAGGTATCGAAGCGTCATTTATTCTGATATTTAATACT